ACCACAGAGACACTATACTTCACAGCTTCTTCCTAGAGTCACCACAAGCAGCATATTGGTTTATCTGATTTATTTCCTCTTCCCGAGTACTTCCTTCAGTGCATATAGAAGCACAGAATCAAAAGCAAGTGCTGGACATTGTTGATTTATTAATTTATTCAATAAGTATTTGTTGAGCTCCTACCATGTGCCAGGTACACTGGTAGTCACTGGAGATGTAAGGGGGGAAAATAGACTGACGTTAAATGGTTCATGAAGCATGATGAGATTATGACAGAGAATTTGCGGGGTGCTGGGGCAGCACTAGACCGGGGGAGTTAGCAAGACCTAGGGGAACGGAAAGGTTTCCTGAAGAAGTAACATTTAGGCTCAGACTTGAAGAATCAATATAAGCTGGCCAGGAAAATGGGAGTGAGGGAAGAGGGAAAGGCAGAGAAAGTACCGTGTGCATGAAAGTCCAGCAGTGAAAGGGGTTGGGGAGAGAGATGGGAGAGGCATAGGGAGGGTTAAAGGTAGGGCCAGAGATGGGAGACAGATGGGCTGACTCACAACATACAGTTCAGTGAAAACCCTGAGGGGAAAGGGGCCGAAGACACTGGTGGGAGACAGATCGTGGAAGACTAAAGAGTCTTCTTAGGTCACTAAAGAGTAGACTTTGAGGAGTCATTGAAAAAAATATGTGAAAGGGGCATGATTTTATTTGCATTTTAGAAAACTCCTTCTAGCAGCTGAGTGGAGAATTAATTGAAGGTGAGCAATACAGAGGCAGGGAGACTATTTAGGATGGTGGCACTGATCTGGATGAAAGACGATGGTGGCCTGAACCCAAGCAGTGACAGTGAGGAAGAACTAGGAGATTCTAGAAGTATTCATAAGATAAAAATTCATGGGACTTGGAGATTACTTAGCATGGATCCCAAATACCTGAACAGTTCAAACACACGTGGCATTATTTTATTATGGCTTTACTTGCCATAGCAGATGCTACTGGCATTCTCCCTCCCCTCCCTTCACCAGGCCTCCTGTGTCCAAATCTGATATTACCTGCAAACAGTGGCCATACCCATAGGTGGCTGCCTACATTTGTGCCAAAGGGCAGGCCAAATTTAAGCAAGGCCATGCCCCCAAGGGTGAACCTCAACCACACAGGGATGAAAACTAATAGATAAATATCCCAACTTCCTTGCCTTTTTGTGGGGCAACTCTAAGCCATGTACCACATAGCTTCTGTGGGAGCAGAGCAGTGGGCTCATTGGTATTCAGCCCCAGCTGCACGCAGTGGTAATCCACTCACAGATGTATCTGCATTGGCTTTCTGACCTTTCCTATCTACTGCCCTGTCCCCTCATTTCTGCCTCCTGGGAACATTTCCCAAATACACCACTTAAGCCAAAATCCTGTCCCTGGGGTCAGCTTTTGGGGAAACTCAAATTAACTATAACATTGTTGCTAGATCTGTTAACTAAAAGAGAATGTTTAAAAGCTCATCTATTCCTCTGTGAGTCTTTTAAACTCCCTCTCTTACACAGCAGCGGCAATCATGGCCAGTTCCCCTTTAGGCCACTTCTCTAGAGGACGGACTGGAGAGTATTAGGTTCCAATCAAGTCACATCCCGCCCCCTCCCCAGAGGCTCTGTCAGTCCGGCTCTCTGCCTGATTTTCCTTTTATTCATGGGGTGACTGGGGGCCATTGGATGAGATGATGCCTACTGCAAATCATCTAAAACCGATACCTCGGCCTTCGCACCTATGTTTTATTAATATGTATTCATTCTTGCTGGGCCTTGTCAAGTGCCCTTCTCAGGAGAACAATTAGTTTGGCATTAATCACTTTTAATGACTCTGAATTTTACACAATTCAAATTTTAAAGGAAAGTGTAACCCATCATCTAGGAACAGATCAGAAAGCAAAAACTCGACCACCCGCCCAGGAATTGACCTCACCTCACACTCTTTATGTTAAAGCAGATTATGATGTAAAGTGGACAAAGCATCTAGAATGAGCAAGGGATGAGTCAGGGTACCAGACTCGTTTCCTCATTGAGCCAAGTAGTCTCTACCCCATCAGCTCAGGTCCAGTGGCCACATCTGCAGGTCATAAAGGAGGATTGGGAGGAGGGGCAATGGGGGATGAAGAGAAACAGGAACCACTGTTTACTAACACCTGGGCTGTGCCAGGCAGGAGACTCAGTATTTCATTATGCCATCTCACTGAAGCCTCCCTGTAAGTCTACACAAGGGCTATCAATCCCATTTACAGAGGAGGAATCTGAATCTTAAGGTGATTTAAAAATGTGGCCAATGCCACCGTATGCATGTGTGGTAGAGACTGAATTTAACCTAGATCTCTTTGGCTCCAAAGCTCATACTTCTTCCCCTACCCTGCTTTATTTCAAGCCATTTTACTCTGTTTCTTGTAGATATTCTCCAAAGGCAGATTAAACTTTTCCTGTTGGAACGTTCAGTCCCCACAGGGGACTGTATCAAGAACACTAGTGTTATGTTAACCCCTCCACTTAATTTCCCCAACCCAAAACTTATCAGCATATCAGGAAGCTTTCACCTTTGCTACAAACAGCCAGCTGGGAGCACCTCTCAATTTAATTAAAAAACTTAACAATTCATAACAAGAAAAGTGCTCTGGGGGGCAATAGAATCTCCCAACTTCAATAAATAACAATAATAACAACAAAACAAATTATCTTAAAAGTGAAAAGAACCACCACAACCAACATTTTGATATGAACTTATAAAAGTGGCCGCTGAGCCAGGGGAGCAGGGGAGAAGACGATTTGGGTGCAGCTTAGGAGAATCAGTGCCAGGTAAAGCAATTGAATCAACAAACATGAGAGTAATCATTAAGGGCCCCAAAATTGGCACACTCAGCAGTTGAGAGAGGCTGTAAAAACTCAGTCCCCTGCTTATCACTGCAGAAACCGCAAAGGTGGGAAGAAAAATGCTAGCTAGCACTCCACTTGGGCATCCCTGGCTGAGAGAAACAGGAAGAAGGAAGGCAAAATGGTCAGAACAACCCAGATCTAGCTGTCTGCAACAATCATAGAGACAGTAGAACAAGACGAAAAATGTGCACTTAGGGTAGAGGTGGGTGCCCTGAGAACCCCAGATAAATGGAGATTCACTTCTCTGCTTGGCACTGTAAAGGAGGAGCCAAGTCCCCTGATGCTGTGTTGTTTTTCTTCTACTCCTAGGACTAGCTACGGGGGGAGGGTGAGTAGAAGCAGCGATGTGGAACAACCAGAGTGACGGTCTCTGAGGCAAGCACAGTCTGCAATGACTTGGAGCACAGATCCAAGGAAAGATGCCATCTCTGTCCTCTCTCCCCTCCACAAGAATGGCAAATGACTTCAGCCAGGCGCAAGGAGTCCAGATACAGGGCATTCGACAAAGCTTCAGAAGAAAGAGAAATCTTAAATTCTCCAGAGGCCACATTCAACCCGAGCATGTCTCTCCAAATTCCTCCCAGTGCTCTGGACTATTTCTAAAAATGGGTAGAACTCACAAGGTACACCCTTCAAAGTAGCTCAGAAGAGAACAATATGTAAGTCACTGACAGAGTGGGGAAGGAGTCAAGGAGAATCTGTTCACGTTATTAGAACACATATAAACTCTGAGCAGAGTTGTCCATGCCAAGCACTTAGATGCAAAGAAACAGTGTGGCATTCACAGAGTATGCTACAGCCCAGCAAGAACACAAAAGAGCAAAAGCAAGGAAGGGAAAGAAAGAGTGAGAGAGAGATAAAGAGAAAGGACAGAAGTTGCCAAAAGCGATTAAAAAAAAAACTAACATGGAAGAAACTTCTCTGGCAGTAGTACTTCATGCTATAATCTTTCTATGGGCTTCTATAAAAAATGAAATTAATAAAATAAGACCACAAACCAATGATAATAAAACAACGGGATGAGCTAAAAATTGAGATTGCAAAAATAAGGAAATAAGCCAAAGACCAAAATAATTTCTCGTTCCACTGTGGAACAAGAAATAAAATAGACAAAGCTGAAAACAATTACGAATATGTAAGGAAGACAATCACTATGAACAGAGGAAAAACCCAAGAGACTGAAACAAATTTTTTTAAAAAGATAATAGATGGTGAAAGCAGAAAGGAAAAAAAAAACAACAGCCCAACATATGGCATATTATTTCTCCAGAAATAGAAAAAGCAAATAAATGAGACAAAATGTAAGAAAAAAGTTAAAGACCAATGGCTACAAGGTCTGAGTTAAAGAAGCCTGGACCCAAGACTATCTTGCAAAATCAAGATGTCTTTCCAATATAGAGAAGACAAAAGTTTCCTTTCACCAAGAAAGAGTTGAGGGGATTATTATGCCTGAGAGGCCCTGAAAAACTCTCAGATAGTTAAAATCAAACCAACAAAAAGTTAAATCAAAACACAGAATTCAAGACTAGAGAAACTGTAATAGAAAGGACTAATTGCTTTGTAGTAAAATTAGGGACTAAGTAATTATGGGAATTGTACAAAATAGAAGTAAATGTTATACATCCTGACAACTTAAAAATAAAATACTGTAACAAAAGGGGAAAAGGCAATGAGGGAAAAGAAAATAGGAGAAAAGGTAAATGAGTAACTTTTTCATTTCTCATAGTAGAGGAATAATCGGTATTATATAAACCCAGAACACAGCTAAACACCACATTAATGTTTCTGCCAGCTATTTTCTTATCCACAGAACAGTGCATCTCAAATGTTATGGAGTGCCCAAAGTTACCTGAAGGGCATATTTAAATACAGAGTGCTGGGCCCATTCACGGAGTCTCTGACTCAGTAGCTGGGGGCTGACACCTGAGAGCTTGCACTTCTCACAAGTTCTCAGGTGACTGCTGATGCTGCTGGTCCACAGGTGCTTCTAAGGGGCCACTGCCTTAGATGGGGCTTTTAGGAACTAGGTTCTCTTGGGAAATTATTATTTTAGTGTACATTGGATCGAACTTAGTAATTTTTATTTAAAATTATATATACACACACACCTGGCAGGGGAGATACCATTTTCAGGAGGGGGGGTTTCCCAGGGCCGGGCTTAGCCATTGCACTCCGATGGGCTGACCTCTGTGATTCCCCAAAGGTGGGAAACTCGGCTGTGTAATTTGTGGTAGTAGGGGACTGTGTTCACTCTCTCCCCTAAAAAAATAGAAAATAAAATGACATACATGGTATGATGTCTTAATATAATCATCATTTCCACCTACCCCACCCACTTTTCTGTTTTCGTATCTGTCTGGAGAGAGTGGGGGGGAGGAGAGGAAAGGAAAGGAGAAAGATGTTATAGGATAATGTTCACTTGATGTTAATGAGAGTTATTCCCAGGCAGTGAGATATCTCCACAGCCAAGGAGATGTACTTTTTATATCCTTTAAGCCTCTTAGAATGACCCTATGAAATGTTTTCACAAAATAGTAAGGTCATTAACAACAATAAACTACAAGGTCCAAAAACAATTTATTCAATCCAGCTCTCAGTTTCTCAGACTGACCCACAGAAATGTGTTTTGAAGGTCATGAAGATCTCCAATGATGTCAGCCATAGGAGGTGAGCAACTCAGCTTCAACACTGCTCTATTCCACTAATGGCTTTGAATGGGGCTTTTACCCATGGGCACATCTACTTCTTTGCAGAGAAACAGCATTTTCAACTCTACTACCTTTTCTCACAAATGTCATATGTGTTCCTTAGTGATTCTAGAATTGGCTCTTCCAATTTCGTAGGGGTTTTTGTTAACAAATTCATATTAAGACTTTCCGAAAACAGTGAGATTTTACAGCCTCCATGCTCATCCTGCCTCCCCACCTTAAAAATTTCCTCATCGCATTTTTACTCCTTGTCCTGAGACCCCAAATTTCCCCAGCCCATTTTAATCCCCCTTTTCTGAGTATGTTTTGTAATACTCTTACCTTCTATTGTTGAACATATTTAGCTGTCATTTTTAAAGCCTTCTCTCATAGAGTCAATTAATATTTTATACATGGTTCCAGAGCTGGAAATGAGAAAAATATACATTATCAGTTATAAGCTACCAAATCACATCTCAACTTCAGACTAACTTCCCATTAGTGAAGAAAATACAGTGATATAATTACCACTGAAATGACAGTAAAGAAAAGTACCAAGAGAAATGAGTCCAACCTCCATGGAGAGAAATTTACAACAGAGTCTGAGAAATGGGTTGAAATCTCTTTCTGTGTATATCGGAGAAGGAGAGGGAGAAAGAAATGACTAAGTGAATGGATGAGCTGCTGGGGTTATTAAATAAGAATTAGCAAAGCCAATGCCACATCAGAGGAACTTCAAAAAGAAAGTAAGCATTATAATCTGATCATTAGTTGGTTTTCAGTTTGACTCTTCGGGTGTGAATCAGCATTGGCTGTGATCAAATCACCAACATTCATGACTCCAACTCACATTATTTTGTGGATCTTTCCAACTCTAGTGTTTTGATTCTGCATCACTCTTTCTCCCTGGAAAATAGGGTGTCAGGATACATTCTCTGCCAGGAGCTGAAGTTTCTCTCCTTGGCCATGTTCCTCACCCAGAGAGCTGCTAGCAGACTTCTTTACCTGAGAGACCTCAAGCAGCCCTCATGTAAGCACTGGTTCCCACCAAGGAGCAGGAGGATGAGACAGCTATATCTGAGAGAGCAGATGTTTTTGTGGTAACTTTTGCTAAAGGCTGACAACAGTGTTTCTTATATTTACTCTACTCCTGTCCCTGGATTTACTGAACTTCACAAGACTGCCAATCTTCCAGAATTTTCTTTACTCTTCTACTCTGAGCAAGAAGTGTTGACTTTGTTCTGTGCATGTACCTCAAACATCTGAGCCTCACTCATTGCCTTTACTCCCATTCTTGTTAGATTCTGGAAGCTTCATTATGGCTTTTCTTAACTGATCTCTTTAGCAGATACCCCAGTCAAGTCTGGCGTGCTATCCCCAGACAGGTCACAAATGGAGGCTTAGGTAAGTGTAGCCCATAGCCCCCAACTCCCTCCTTTGATATCTTGAGAATATCACCATTTTCAAAGACTGTTTTCTTGATAAGTTCATTTTATACCAACTCTGCTAACCTAGGTGAACCAAAGGAGGTATAAAGAGTGTTTTCACATGGTATACCAAGATTTCTTAAGACAAAGCAGCAAGATACATACTAGGCTTGGGATTGGAAGACCTGGATCTCAGTGCTGTGTTTTCATATCTGACTAGCTGTATAACCTTAGGTATACAGATAGAGCCTAGGCATAACCTGAGCTGAATGCTAAGTTCTTTGTCTTAAATATTCTTTGGCAAAACATAAACCAATCGGATAAATATCACCAGCAATGCTCAAGGGGACATTTGAGTCATCAAAAAAGTAGGCAGGCCAGGAGCAAACCATAAACTCCAAATGAGTAAGACGAAAAGCCTCACAGGTTCTGAAGGAGGTAAGCTTACCTGAAGGCTATTAGGATATGGACGAAGAGAAGCGAGGATGAGGCATTCACTGTCGGGCTGGAAATAAATTCCATGTGACTCAGGGCCATGCCTGGGGGATCAAGATGTCCTGAGGGAGCAAAGAAAGAGCACTTGTTTAGAATGTCTTGTTTTCATGGATGACAACATTAACAAGCAGAAAAAGATGAACAATACCCACTAGCATAAGCTGAAAACAGCATTATAGAGTATAAATATAGTTGAATTATCAAATGTTAGAGACAGAAGGGACCTAAAAAATTCTTTCATTTAGTCCAACTCTTTATTTTGTGGATGAGAAAACAAAATCCACATTAAAAGTGGCCTGTCCAAAGTCTCACATTTAGTGAGTAGTTACTAAGCAACAAAACATCAACGTGAGAGACAACATCAGTTAGTTGCCTCCCATACATGCCCCAGCCGGGAATCCAACCAACAGTTTGGTGTGTGGGACCATGCTCCAATCAACTGAGTTACCTGGCCTGATGACCACTTTGTGCCAGTTACCTCATCCCTAATCTTCAAAAGTTATCTTATCCTAATTGAGACACCAAAGCTCAAAGAAATCAGACATCTCACAACTCAGAGCCAGTAAGTCGCGGATCAGAGATTTCAATATTGGCTTGGCTTCCCCAAAATTCTGGGTTTATTTTGCTACACTATGCTGTTCTAGGTCTCTCCCAAGACTTAGAGAAATGCAGAGGTTCACACAGTAGCAAAATGTCCAATTCAGGCTTTGAACAAAAATCAACACCTTTCCAATACTCTGAACTAACATACGTAGGGTGACATTTCAGTTTTTCTTAGCCATCCTAGCCTCACTCACACTTTATTCTCTAGAACATGTGTACCATCAGACCAGAATAAAATTGCTCTTCATCATAGGCTATAGTAACAAAAGCTAAAGTATAGCTTTGTCTGACCCAAATTCAAGTTTTCTCAGTGGTAAGAACATGAAGACATAACTTCAAACAAATGTTTTCCCACCAGCATACTGTGATTACACATTGCCATGAAAATTGTCTTTTCTTGGATTTTTTCTTTTCTGTACATATAGAAATTAAATTAATTAAAATACTAAAGATAATCCCTATTCTGAAGAAAAGAAAGAAAATAACTTTTAAAAGTAGCAATGAAGAGGAACTATTGCAGGTCTTTAATATTTTTCTACTACTTTGGGTCAGGAGAGAAACAGGGTCCTGGGCTGGGTGAACATCAGTGAATCAGTGAGCACTGCACTAAGGCCACTCTGTGCATGGGAAGAGGAGGAGAAGAGCAAAGGACAGTCCCTGCACTCCTGAAGATTGGCATCTGGGAGGGAAAACAGGACTCCTAGAGACAAAATGACAGTCCATTACAGACAGAACAATAGACTAGTAGGTAAAAAAATGTGGCACAATGTAGATAGAGTTAGGTAGGCTTCTATAGGATCAAACAAATGCCTTTTGATAGTCCCATTCATTCATTTATTTATCAGACACTTAGGGAAACTTACTGGGTGAGTAAGGACTATAAACCTAGGGGAAACTGTGAAGTGAAAAAAAATTAAAAACTAGCCTCATGGAGGTCATGTTTTAGTGGTTGGAAATGGGGGTAGGGACATATATGCACACACATATATGCACATATATATGTCAGATGGTAGTAAGTGACATGGAGAAAAATAAATCAGAGGAGAGAGATGGAAGAAGTACTAGAGGGCTGCACATTAAACGGGGTGTCAGAAAAGGTGCCATTTCAGCCAGGACCTAAAGTTTATAAGCAATCAAGCTGCACCGTTATCTGGAAATAAAACATTTTGGGCAAAAAATAAACAAGCTCAAAAGGCCTGAGGCATAGATAGATGCTTAAGAAACAGGAGTGAGCAACAGGGAAACATTGAGAAACAAGGCCAGAAAGATGATAAAGGAATAGATTCCAGCCATGTAATAGAAAGTTCTGTGATGATAAAATATTCTGTCTTTGTTCTCTAATATGGTAGCCAGCAGACATATGTGACTACAGAGAACTTAAAATGTGACTAGTGTTACTGAAAACTCAATTTTTTATTTTATGTTATTTTAATATACTTAAATTTAAACCGCTGCTTGTTGGCTACTATATTAAGACAGTGAAAATGAGCCTTGTAGGCCATTGTCAAGGTTTTGCCTCTTATTCTTGAATAATACGGGAAGAAACTGGAGAAGAGCAGAGGACTGACATAATCTAACTTAGGTTTTAAATCACTCTCGATACTGCAATGGAAATGGACTGTAGGGTTAAGAGCAGCCTCGGGGAAATGTGACTTAATGCAGATGAGAGATGAGAGTGGGTGCTGACTGATCTCAGATGAAGGGGGCCATGGTGCAGATGGTGAAAAGTGGTCAAGTTCCAGATGTAATTTGAAGGTAGAGTGTCCATGGGATTTTCTGCCAGACTGGATGGGGGAACATAAGAGACAAAGAGAAGTTATGAATGGCCCACAGGTTGTTGTCAGAGCATTTCATGGAGTATTCACAAGGAAAGACTATGAGAACCACAGGTTAGAAAGCCTCATAGCATCTGTTCTTGGTGGCCTGGAAAATTCTAGGTTAATTAGAGATTATGCCTATGTTGCCAGGTCATTTGAGAATAAGTGAAATCACATATGCAAGTGACTAGCATAAGGTGCAGCCCCACAGCAGGTCCTAAGATGTTACTTTT